TTCTTGCCCAGTTCACTTTCTTTGATAGCGTCGGGCTTTGTACCTCGCCTGTAGCTTTCTCGCTTTTGAGATATTTCAAGAATTGCGTCGTTAATTGCCAGAATCCATGCTTCTCGTTCGGTTTCAGAAGAAGCTGAAAAGTCTATTACTTTCTGCTTACTTGTTACTCGAAAGGTGTTGCAAAGCTCGACTTCGTCGTCTGTTTCTCCGATTTCCATTCCGTAYAGATCCATTTCAACTTTGACTTTTAGTTTGTTGGTACCTGGYAATTTTCCGCAGCAAAGCAACACATCGTTGAACTGTAAAAGAAAATAACACTCAGAATAAAAAGTGAGTAAACAGTTAAGTATAGTTATTAATACTTTTGAGTCTTCTGTGCAAAATTGATTTATTTTAACCAAGCTTTCGACCTAAGCAGTCATTTTCAAGGTTGTAGTACACGCGATGATCTATAAACCTACGCGTGTACTACAACCTTGAAAATGGCTGCATAGGTCGAAAGCTTCTTTAAATAAATCAATTCTGCACAGAAGACTCAAAAGTATTAATAATAATATGCCTGTGTACGACGAAATTCTTAACAGTTAAGTATACATGTAGGTTTACTATTCAACGTACCAGTAGCAAAGTGCGTTCCTGGTGAGCTACGTGRCGGGCAGATACTTTGGTTAGATCCCCCTCCTTGATGAATTGCTGGTAAAACAAAACCAATATTAAATTAGATTGACAGACAGACAGCCAGAGACACCGAAGACGACGATGATGATAATGATGACAGTGATGTCTATCAGGATGAATAAGGTGTTGATGATAATGATGATAATGATAGTGAAGATCATAATGATGATCATGAAAGTGCACAAACTGTACTAGGCCGAGTCTAATTAACTTACCCTTCCAGCTGCAATCAGGTCGTAMTCCTCGATAACTCTTTCCTGTAGTTCTAGTAGTTTTTTGAATATTTCCTATCAGAGAATAACGGAAGGTTAATAAACGTCTCTAAGTGTTTCCTTATAAACATGTATCAAGTGCTTTGTTAACTTACTGTTTTCTTCATGCTGTCGTTGGCATGCGCTGCAGCTTCCGAAATAATGCCCATAGCGTCTGCAAAGTATTACAATATTCATTAAAACATTCAACTGAAACAAACAACTAATCACAGGCGACTACTAATAGTAATATGTGCGTATTTCCCATTCCAAATCCCATTTCTATTCTCATTCACATTCCGCTGTTTCAATTCAATTTACACAGACTTTGAGATCACGCTAAGTTCTCATTGTCGGCCTTGAAGTACATTGGAAACAACGTCTAACCTTGTGTGTCCTTGTAATCCGGTGAGTCTTCTGGTAGTTTACTTAGATAATCTAAACAAATACAAATACAAAACTTTTTAACACATTAACAGCATTCTTTCTTCAAGCAAAGTTTTTGAAGAGTTGAAAAACGTTTTAGTTTGTTTCTAGCGTAGATAATCACCATTCATATACTTTTGAAATCAAATGCCCAAGAGAGGGCTATACTTGCTGGCTATTTCTAGCACTGCACTGTGAATTTCAAGTCATGCAGCATAATTTCTTAGTGGATGGCTATGGAATTCTTTGATCACACCTTTTAAGAGAAGTTTATATCTGGGAACTCGTTGGATTGGTTCAAGCATATGATGTCCAAGGGTGAGGTTCTCGCAGTCTTTAGATTTCTATACATGTATTAATTAAACAAGTTATTATAATAAAATTAATTTACTAAAACCACTATATTATGCATTCAATTATTTTAATTAAGAAAAAAATACACCAATCAATTATCCAGTCACTGAGCCAATCAATCAATCAACAAAATATCAATTTTAACAATCAATCAATCAATCAATTAAATATCAATTTTAACAATCAATCAATCAATCAGTCAATCAATCAATCAATTAAATATCACTTTTATCAATTAATCAACCATTTAAATAGTGAACTGATAATCTGGAATATACACATAGTCTAGTGGAGTTTCTTTCTTATCACCAAGTCACTGTTCTGCCTGTCTGTTTGTTCTGTTCCTTATCAATCAGTTCTACTGATAGTGCTGTAGCTGTTACCTGAATTTCTTCAATAATGGCTGCGAATTTTGGTGACTTCTTGGTCCATGTAGATAGTGTTTCACTTGACTTGTCAAAGTTTGCAATATAAGCAGTGTATAGCTAAAAGAAAATAGTGGAAAAACATTAAAACATAGTAACAATAGTCTCCTTGACAGTTACAGTGCGCCATCTTGAAAGGTAGCTGTRCCTTTACATGGGAGCGAGACAACCGTTGAGCGTGCAATGATAGATACCTGTGAATAATTGTCTGTAGGTTTGAAAGAAGGTTTTTATCATTGCACACTCAACGGTCATCTCGCTTCGATGTTAAGGAGGTCAATGTGGCACAGGTAACTGTGAAGGAGCCTATTATATATTGTGTATATGTTGTGGTTTGAAATGTGCCTTGGTTTGAAATTTTTTAAACTGGTTTGAATTTTTCAAACCAGTTTGAATTTTTCAAACTGGTTTGAAATTCCAATTTAAGGTTTTAGGCTTAGGGTTAATATTGGGGAAGGCCATAATTCTAGTACCTTGGGGTTAGGTTTAGGGTTAATATTGGGTAAAGCTATAATTCTAGTACCTTGGGGTTAGGTTTAGGGTTAATATTGGGTAAAGCTATAATTCTAGTACCTTGGGGTTAGGTTTAGGGTTAATATTGGGTAAAGCTATAATTCTAGTACCTTGGGGTTAGGTTTAGGGTTAATATTGGGTAAAGCTATAATTCTAGTACCTTGGGGTTAGGTTTAGGGTTAATATTGGGTAAAGCTATAATTCTAGTACCTTGGGGTTAGGTTTAGGGTTAATATTGGGTAAAGCTATAATTCTAGTACCTTGGGGTTAGGTTTAGGGTTAATATTGGGTAAAGCTATAATTCTAGTACCTTGGGGTTAGGTTTAGGGTTAATATTGGGTAAAGCTATAATTCTAGTACCTTGGGGTTAGGTTTAGGGTTAATATTGGGTAAAGCTATAATTCTAGTACCTTGGGGTTAGGTTTAGGGTTAATATTGGGTAAAGCTATAATTCTAGTACCTTGGGGTTAGGTTTAGGGTTAATATTGGGTAAAGCTATAATTCTAGTACCTTGGGGTTAGGTTTAGGGNAAGAAAATCATAGATGCCCCACTTACTGGGGTGTTAACTGAGACTCACCATTGGCTCATCCTTTCCTCCAGTTTTGGTAACAAAAAGTCTTTATGAAAGGAATGGATGGATGAAATGTTGGAGAATATATCAGGAAGAACATCAGCGGTGATTATACCATGGGCAAAGCATTCATTATGAAGTCTGAAGCAAAAAACCTGAGAACAACGTGAAACATGGATGTTTATCATATTATAACTTCACAGGAAACATCGCTAAAGCTTTGATCAGGTATTGGTCATACAATGAAATATTAAGGACTTTCCATACCCAAGTTCAGTGACCAAGAACAAAGCATTGAAACTGAGGCACCAAGGCACAATAAGATATTTTCTTTCATACTTAAGTGTTTCTTGACATCTTGGTTCAATACTTTTTTCTGGTCACTGAACTCCAATATAGAATATCTTAAAATAGAAAAACAGCTCTCTCACCTTATCGAGCAAATGAAGCCTTTTGACATATCTTTGGAAGAAAAGAAAACGATGAAATGATAAATAGAATAATAGAGTACACTTAAAATAAGTACATGTAATCATAGACTGAGAAATAAGAAAGGGGGTAGAAATTTATATTTATTAGTAAGTCAGAGTAGATACCAATTACATTCTATTTATGTGCAAGCATTCTATGAATACTCCTACATTGTAGCCATAGTTCCAATTATGATAATTATAATGAGGTTAAGACTAGAAGGCAATACCAGTACCATCATAAACAAAATAAAAATCACAAATCTGTTTAAAAACTATTTGTGTTCTTAATGCATTATTTCATGGCATTACAGCTTGTACTACACATGATTCAGAGTAGGAAGAACAATATTAATGAACAATGTAAACAAGGATTTGATATGTGACATCAAGATCAATAAGCACTACCAGTTATTTGACAGTTACAAAAATACTAACTACACTGATGGGGTTTAAAATGTGCACTTACGCTCTCTCTGTTGTTAAAATTTCATGGGCAATGTTGTATAGCTTTTTACTTCTTTGATCAGGGAAATGCTGCAAGTGAAAAAAATATTTTTGATTCTTTTGTTTATACCCAATGTAAGAATTATTTTAAAATCATATCTATACTGTAGATAAATATCAAATACAAACTATAATACTCCAGTTTCGAGATCTTATTTGTGCAGTCTTAACCTCGAAAGTATGTAATATATTCTTTTATTTATGCCATTTACATACAGCCTTTTGCAAAAATTATGAGAATTGTTGAAATATCTAAATATCATAATATCGAGTGCATGATGGGTAATCCCGCGCGATAACCTTAGTCCCTTGTCTTTGTAGTTTAGTTTTTTTTTGGCAACAGACTTATCCGTAGTTCTRAACATTTTCTCGATGTCAACAATGAATTATTCTAGCAAACTCGCGTGTTCTGGACAATATATGGATTTGGATATTATGACATTTAGATATTTAGACAATTCTCATAATTTTTGCAAAAGGCTGTACTCTATGAAAGTCTCGTTATATATATAATAAACAGCTTATAGCATGGAAAGTGCTTTGTACGGTATTTTATCCCGTACATCGCACTTTCCATGAAATAAACTCTATTTATTCAGTAGATAATTTATTGTTGTAATGCAAACGCTCTGTGTAAAAAGAATACAATAACATTTATGCTTGATTGACGCTAAGCTTGCACAAAAGAGGATTCGAAACTGGAGTATTTATAAGTAGTTTTTACCATTGTTTGTCCTTGTGAATTTGGCCTGGAATCATCACCATCACTTGAGTCATCATCATCAAAATCTTCAGGATCCCATCCATCTTCTGAATCAGACTCACTGACAATATCAATTTCATTTTCCAAAGAGCTCTGTTTCACATTAGATTCTTCCTCCTCCCTTACTTCATATATCATCCCAGATGCTATACTTATATTTGAAGGAAGTGGATCAGAATCGCTTCTAACCATTCTATTACTAATTTTGCTGTCTGAATTAATATTCTTTAAATGAGGTTTCTTTTTTGTTTTGTCTACTTGAGCATACAAWGGTGCTACAGAMGGTTGACTTTCGCTTTCTTGTTCATTGTCTCCCTTTTGTTGTTGTGCTTCTGTACACGATTCCGTACCATTTTCATCTGTTTTATTAACTTTTTGTGCTTCTTGAGAGTCTTTTGATTTGTTTATGAGTTTTCTTGGAGGTGGATGATTTGGGACACTTGGTCTTTCACGTGATATKGAAGCATATGAGGGATCATTGTCTTCTTCAGTATCACAATATGGACTTGACTCAGACAATGAATCAGCCTCTTCTTTAGGGTAAGATTTTGTCGGATCGTCAGAAATTGTAGGAGTATCTTGAGTCAATCTCTTAGGTGGTTTTGGTGCTACAACTGGTTTAGGTAAAACAGAAGGCTTTGATGGCAATACTCCACCTCCTTTACGRAATCTTGGCTGATTCCCTTTGTGGAGAGGATTAGAAAATTCAGCCAAGTGATGCTTAGAATCAAAACCAGATGCCACCTTTTCAAAGGAAAATCCTAGATTTTTCACATTATCTTTTCTTTGGTTTTCCTTTTGAGCTGTAAACACTGGACGTTCTGAAGGTATCTGTTTATTATTTACTCTCTGAACTCCTTTGAATGAGGATACATTATTTGCCATGCTAAACAAACCTTGGGCATCTGAGAATATAACAAGGCTTTGGTAAATATCTGGATCTGAAAAACTCCTTGATTCTCTAATGGCTCTTGAGTTTATTTTTGTTGAGGATCCAGCTTCCTTGATTGCAGTATAGGATAGCACTGGAGTTCCATCTTCAGTCCTTGACCTTCTACTTTCTAGTTTAGTTTTGACAAGCCCTGCTTTAATTGCTAACAGTCCTTGGGTTGACTGGGCTCTAGTTTTGACAGGTTTTTCAGTCATCTCAAAACTTAATGGACCTAGAAGTTAGACAATAAATATGATAATCATGGCTTGAAATAACGGCCGGTCAAAGGACAATGTCCTTCCAAATTCGCTAGATGACCGGTCAAATCGGGTTTTAAAAGGACAGATTGACCTGCCACATTTCTAGACAAATCAATTCTCAATTCCCATAAAAAAATCTTTTACATCCATTAAAATGCTTGTCGATCTTTCTGGATATAAAAAAACGTATGAGTTAAAAGAAAATAACAGTATAATAAAGTTTTTGTCCTTTCAAAACTCGACATGACCTTCCAAAAATGAATTTGGAAGGACATCTTGTCCTGCATATGTGTCATTATTTCGAGCCCTGGATAATCATCAACAGTGTGAGATTTGTATGATTTACTTCCTTATACAGATTACATGTACATGTAGATGCTTTGAAGACTCTTGATTGTGAATAGAAATAATAATTCTTCAGGATAACATTTCAGCAAAAAAGAAATATAATTTTAACCATTTTAAAAGAAATCTGAACATACAGCTGTAATTATACTTGAGTTAGATTTCTGCAGAATATTTCAAGTTTTACTTAATTTGTCGCTATATTATATGTTTGCGTAACATAAAAAGTCAGTATTATCAAAAAAAAAATTATTGTGCACATATACACCTATACATACACGTATTTATTCCATGGGAAATCTAAATTTCTATTTTAAATCTTAAAGATTAAAGATAGCAATGACATATGTTATATTTTTAGATTTTAAAAACAAATTTCCTGGATGGCCCAAAGGGTAAAAAAAATGTTTAGCACAAATGGAAATCTAACTTTTGTAAGGAATGAAAAATGGAAAAGTGGAAAAAATACAGTGTCCTGTCCTCCCAAAAAGTNAAAAACGTATGAGTTAAAAGAAAATAACAGTATAATAAAGTTTTTGTCCTTTCAAAACTCGACATGACCTTCCAAAAATGAATTTGGAAGGACATCTTGTCCTGCATATGTGTCATTATTTCGAGCCCTGGATAATCATCAACAGTGTGAGATTTGTATGATTTACTTCCTTATACAGATTACATGTACATGTAGATGCTTTGAAGACTCTTGATTGTGAATAGAAATAATAATTCTTCAGGATAACATTTCAGCAAAAAAGAAATATAATTTTAACCATTTTAAAAGAAATCTGAACATACAGCTGTAATTATACTTGAGTTAGATTTCTGCAGAATATTTCAAGTTTTACTTAATTTGTCGCTATATTATATGTTTGCGTAACATAAAAAGTCAGTATTATCAAAAAAAAATTATTGTGCACATATACACCTATACATACACGTATTTATTCCATGGGAAATCTAAATTTCTATTTTAAATCTTAAAGATTAAAGATAGCAATGACATATGTTATATTTTTAGATTTTAAAAACAAATTTCCTGGATGGCCCAAAGGGTAAAAAAAATGTTTAGCACAAATGGAAATCTAACTTTTGTAAGGAATGAAAAATGGAAAAGTGGAAAAAATACAGTGTCCTGTCCTCCCAAAAAGTTGCAGCGAAAAATTATTGGACAAATCAAAACCCCTTCGTCAAAAGTCAAATGCTGAGCAGGACTTGTCAAACAGATCAAAAATAATTATCAAAAATTTGCATGATAATATTAACTAAGGGTGACGCACGACACGATCGAAGATGTCATCACTATAACTTTACTATTACCACCTAAAACGCAATCTTCAGCGTGCAAAGTGTCTTCCAACAATGTGGTCATGGAGCTAGTTCTTTCGGTATACTCTAAGCGTTGCGAAAAGGATCAGCTTGTCGAATCGACAATAAAAAAAGATCTCTTATATTTAGATGGAATCTGTTAGTTGACTTTCACTTGGACTCGATGGTTCTTCGAGGTCCAAATTCGATAGTTCATTAGGAGTGACAGCTATTCAAAAAMTTACTTGATTCGACAGTAATGACAACACTTCCTTCCGGAAATTTATCTATCGGCATGCTGCCCACCATTTATAATGCATCCAGTAGTATATTACCAGATAAAAACAAGGCTACAAAGTGGCACAAAGTAGATTTAACTTATGATGAAAATGATCACATGCGGTTAAACTTTACCTTTCTGAATGTCGAGCAGTTACTGCAGCTCCAGCGGAATCATTTCCCTCGTGTTGTCATCGGTGCATTCCATGCCAAGCTCACATGCTCAATCGAAGCATTGTTCGTGGATATTTCCTTGTTTTTTCTAAGATTTAGTTAATCTGGGTGGCCAAGTTATCAAATAAAGAATAGCAAATGACTGCAGAATACATCAATACGATGTTTTTTTTCCGGGTTATTATTAAGTTCAACGTCGACAAAATATATATTGGTAGGAAATCTAGCGGAACCAAACATTTTGTCACGCACTGATTTCGTGACAAGACACTCGACYCAGTCTTTTTTTTCATAACGCATAAATTCCGGATGCGAGAGAGACAGGAAGCCCAGTTGTATTACGAGTGRGCGCGACTGCAAAGAACGCACACACAAAAAGGAGAGTTATGTTTGGGAGAACTGAAAGGTGAGCCGGAACGTATAAGCGAGGATACCACACGAAATTAAAAACATACTGCAAGGCAACACATCTAAAGTGAGTTAAAAAGCTTTATCAAATTCTTTTCAATTTGCAATYTCYTTACAATAAGAAATTCKAAAGGCGTTCAAAATGAACGAAATCTTTATCAAACTCTATAAAGCACGATGATGATATCGATTCACAGTATTTTCTCTTGATTGAATATGTTTACCAATACAGATAAATACCAATTGATATCTTTCTGWTCATGACAGCCTGAGCAATGTTCTGGCTCTCTTCTAGCTAACCAACTATCACTAGATCTAGAAAAAYGATCTTCAACCGCACCCTTTCCGGTGTCTCCCAAAATGGTGTCTCCATCTGAAGTATTCTGATGTTCAGCGATAMMATYGACATGGGCTGGCAAAAGATCAGAACWGGGGTCRCATGTGGAWAWATTCATTTCATCTGTCTGCACTCCAATTTCTGTGTAACTTGCGCAATCGGTTTGAGAAGACTGTGCCCTCTTTTTGACGTGTTTCACATTTCCGTCAAATAGATACCTATCGATATTTTCTATGCTGCCTCCTAAAACGCACTCCATTTCTTTGCTACTRTATCTAGGGCGTTTAATTGAATTCTCAGCCCTATTAWCATTTTTAMGACAGTCTAGTCCAAAAAGTGAGTCCTTCGTCGTGCATACTTGGCTGGATAAACCTATACTCTCTGGAGTCCTGACGCTTGGGTRCTCAGTCATMGGTGTCGTCTGCCWGGCCCTCTTATCAACAGCTTTTCTATCAGTCTCAGAGCTAGGAGAGTTTTTGGAACTGATCGCATCCACATCCAAGGTATCATGCAGCTTTKTWATCTCAGTATTACTTCTGGCCATGGATGGGCATTCCATTGGCGCAGAATACTTTCTGACGCCCTCGCAGAGGGCATCTCTTGCACTGGTGTTGCTGCCTTCCAGACGAGTACTRATACTTTCCGCTTTCGGCATTCCATCCAAGTGAAAATGTTTGGCAGCAGTAAATCKTTGAGACTCATTCYCCATCGATTCTTTCGAGCCCTCAAAAAGAGAGTTKCCAAAGTCGTTTCTCATTATTCCCAAGTGTTCATGAGCACCTTTTGATATCATTCTATCGCTATTTTCACAAGGGAAAAGACATTTTTTGACTTTGCGGCGCCTTGTACCAATGCTGTCCTTTTCCGGTGARAGATCCAGGGACATTTCCTTACATTGTAACAAGCTTGTTGAACTTTTTTSTTCCAAAGATGGATCAGGACTTAATATAGCGCTGTCTGCAGCACTTACCGGGTTGGGYGATTCTGTTGACTTACTTCCAATCGGGTTAWRAGAAATATGSGCTGAGAATGGTGTTGCGCTCTCGTTGTTCAATTCTTCTAACTGTGAATCATCAGAATACATTTTAGAAAGCGCGCCTTAATAACCCTTGCACAACCTAATTTATCAAATAATAAATAGTATCCTTATATGGTGGAAATATTTGTCACCATGAATGGAGAATAGTCAAATTAAACAAGCGCAAAACGTAAAATGTCTGRAGCAGACAGATGGGAATTCAGTATAGGAATTGCGCAACTCAATAAAACTACCCMAAAAAGAGCAGCAACAACCAAAATATGAGACAAATGGTAAACGATTGTAACAGTGAAATTATCAAACAAATAAACATTGTTTACCATGGATACTCCCATAGAAACATCGTCCTTATTTAGAATGCAGCCATCATCACCATCGTCTTGTTCATCATCTAAACAATTTCAAGGAGCATATGCAATATATAAACAAGGCACGATGAAGCTTCTTGAACGAGCCGCGAATTCGGCCCGGGAGGTATAAAAGTGGTAGGGGTGCTCTAAGACCCATGATTCAAGACATTTAATATCGAAGAAAAACAAGATCCTTAAACAGCTGTAAAACGCTTACTAATGATATCTKGCAATAGCTCTACCTACCTGAAAATGTTGACCACGACGACGTAAAACCACTTGACTGGCCGTCTTCATCTCTCTCCATATCCATGACCTAAAGTTTATCAGTAGATTTCTAGTTATATTTGTTCCTTTCTTAGAAACTATATAATCTTTAAACCGTAGACATTGGTGTGGAAAAGCACAATATTTATTACCTCCTGTAAAGCTTCGTTTTTGTTCAAGTTAATCTTTCCTTCATGGTCAATTATTAAGCTTTCTCTTCCTGGAAAGAAAAGACCATGGTCAAGCACACGCTTAGCATGAGTTCCTACAGTGTTCTTGTACGTAGAGATCAAGAATGATCAACATAATGCACCAGACTTAACCGCGGTATAACTATCTACATTTTATGCCGTTGCATAAGTTTTTACTAACGGATCGACTTATGATTTT